AGCAGGAGAGGAAAAAGACATTTTTCAGTTATGCTGCACAAAAGATTACAAAGAAAAGAAGTTATAGTTCTGCCTATTAAAGTCATTCTCTAGTAAGCACAGATTCACCAGAACTTCCCAATCTATACCTTAAGCCATGGCAGAAGTGACACGGCTGCTTACAATAATGCCAGTTTCCTCACAGGGGTCCTGAGAAATAGCATTCCACCCCCTGCACATGAAGGCAGGTAAGTAAGAGGCAAAGAAGTATCTCTTCATGGACTGTACCACAGGCTAATACTAAGTAATTATCCTGAGTTTCTGGTTTCACAGCATTTTGGAAAATAAGACTAGCCTAGACTACCCTGTGCCAACAAAGGTTTTGACAAAGCTAGCGAGAGAACTCTTTGAATATCCACCTCAATAGCCGCACGCAGTACAAAGGATGAAGAATCTTTTCAGACTGTCAATGATTTAGGTGAGGTAACTAGAAAACCAGAACTTTTAAGCAGAAGTTCCAAAATGTGTGATTCTTAGGACCAGGGAAAAAGATACCTATACTTGAATCAGAAGTACAAGTCACAGACTGTATTATTGTACATAAACTAGTTTTGATCTCTTTTGCTCAAGCAACATTGATGATAAAGATTCAACACATCAAAGCAACTTAAAAAGAAGCCAGGGTACTTTGGATTAGCCTGTAACATTCGCAATGGCTTTATTGCCACTATGACTAAAGCCACCCAGAATAAGCAAGTTTAAAGCAAGCAGCACGTTACATTGAATATGCTGACACTGTACGCTTCATATGCGGAGCCTGCAGAGAATTCAGACATTAACCCTGCCTAGGATCAATAGTACAAACTCTCAGAGGCAGATTAACTACCCGGCACTTCCTACGAACCTACCACCGCTGACTTAACTGCTCAGAACCTGCCTTACTTGCACCCTCTGATCCCCTTCAAGTCGTGAAAGAGTATTCTTTAGGGCAATGCAGAAGGAACAACTACAGAATCACAACTGCAACACAAGCTACAGTTTAACTTTTCAAAAGCATATGGTAAACGGGAGCAAAGTGAACTTTGCACAAGACTAACTGCTGATTCAACTCCCTCCTTTCTGCCACACCATTGCCGGGTCCAGCACAAGGCAGGCTGTGGAAACCTGTCCTAGGGAGG